TATATGCAAATCTTAAACAATATATATTGTAATATTATAGTTATAATATTACATAAAATTATAAATTTAAAATCATGATATAGTATAAAATGAGTATAATGCAACGTTAAATAATAGATATTATTAATATAATAGGTGACTTCTTAAATGAAAAAAATTAATTATATAATAACATATCATATTATAAATTTGTAATATTATATAATATTATAACTATAATATTTTCATAAATTTTTTTCATAAGCAAATCAAAATGTATTTAAAAGAAGAACAATTCTTTAGGAAGTCTCAAAATAGTAAAATCTGCAATAGAAATAAATCTAAACAACACCTAGAAAGGAGCAACTCAAAGCAACTAACCACAAGTCAAATAGGAAAAAATATTGTGTAATTTAGATTACATTACATTTATTATTAAATAAATGTGAATTTCTTAATATTAAAAACATTTTTATTTAATAGTTCAATGTTTTGTAATTTACAAAAGACTTTTTCAAACAAATCCTTTCTATAAAAAACATATCTTACGGATTTTGACCCAACCTCCTCCTATTTCAAAATATATGTTAGTACTTTAAACCTAAAAGATAAAAATGAAAAAAAAAAAGTGAGATATTTTTCAAAAAAATAAATACATTCCATAAAGAGATATAGATTGAGATAAGGGTGTTTGCGGTGTGACTTGATTTGGATTTTAATATTTTTTAAATCAATTCAATTTAATTAGTTTGTAAAATTTTTAAATTAATCTAATTTACTATTATATGATAACCAAATCAATCTAATTTAAATTAGATTGGTGTGGTTCAATTAGATTGATTATTTTTAACACTATTAAATATATGAGATAATATAAAAAATTTTAACATTAAGTAGAAAATATAATTATATAATATATTAACATCCAAATCATTAGAAACATAATAAAATGCACAAATAATAAATAAATTTTTATACTCATTTACAATTATAAAAATTGAAAAGATCTAAAAATTATTCTAGGTTATATCATTGGAGGCACAAAAAATAATAAAAAATAACTCTAAGTTTTAAATATAGTACAAGTAATTTTTAAAGGTTAAAACTAGTTTTTCTTTTAGTGCACCAAATGATCCAATTTCATCTTTTAAATTCTGTTAAAAGCAAATAAAATTTAACATAAATATCATTAGAAATCAAAATTATTAATACCGTTTCGTATTGGTCAATCCAGCTGGAACATACCGATTTTTGTATTAGTCCAAAACAATACAAAATCCAATTTCATTTCGATCAAATTTCATTAATTTCAATCAAATTTCAATGCACCGATAATCGATATTTTTTGAAATTTCAAAAATGTGTCAGTAAAAGAAATCAATTCAAATTGGAAAGAGCAGTGCTAGGGGCACTCGCCTCCTGCACTCTCCAACCAACACATGCCTTTTTATCGGGCCACGTAAGTTTGCTTGAAGGCTACGAAATTCACCTCTTTCATCCAAAATAACGTGGCCCAATGAAAATGGAAGTGTTGGTTGGAGAGTGCAATTGGCGAGTGCCTCTAGTATTTCTAAATTGAAAATTGTGTCGGTACAAAGTCAATTCAAATTTGAAAAATGTGTCTGTACAAAAGTAATTCATATTTGAAAATGTAAAGTTTATTTTTGGTTTTTAATTTTAAAGTTTTATGTAATTTCTATTCTTTAATTTTTTATATATATATTTCTTAGTGCATTAATTATAAAAAAATGTATTTTTTTAATTTTTTATCAATTATTAAGTTAAGTTTGTCTAAATATACGTATTTAATGTTAAAAAAAAGAAAAAAATTATGAATATTTTATAAAATTGGTTATTTTAAACTTGTTTTTAATTTATAAGCATATAATTTATAAAAATATATATTTATAACAATAAATTCGAAACGATACACAAAAAATTTCGATATTCGGTACATACTGTTTAACTAGCAAAACCGATACATATACCGATAAGGTATTGACAACTTTGTTATGATAATTAGAAGCATTCATAATTAAAATTTAAAATTCCTCAACCAAGATTAAAAAATAGTAGAATATCAAAATTAGTTTTATTATATAGTTTTAAAACCTTTAGAATGATACTTCTTAAAGTTTAATTAGAAGCATTAGAATATTATTTAAGAACAAATTAAAAATTTAAGATTTTAAAAGTAGAGTCGTAAACCAATTCTAACGGATAGAATTGCAAGTAAATTGAAAATTTAGAATTAAAGTTAGAATGCATGATTTAGAAAAGACAATAAATTACAGAATATGAGAATATTTTATTTTTATTTTTTAATTAAGTTAGTTAAGTTATTATCTTGTAAAATAAAAAAATTAAAATATTACAAAAAATATATTATATTATTTAATTAAGTTATCTTCTAATTAGGCTTTTCAAAAAAAAAAAAAAAGAAGAAGAAGTTATCTTATAATCGGATTTAATTTTATAATCAGACAATTTGAAAGTAAGATCACAAATTGGTTTTAAAATTTTAAAATCCAAACTAATCCAATTTTATATGAATTTGGTTTAATTTTTTATTGGATTGGATTAGTTTAGATCAAATAAATCAGATTGGATCGAATATGAACATCTCTGAACA